GTCTTAAAGCTGCTATGTAAGGGTGAACCTGGTGAATGACTTCAAATCAAGTGTTTTACTCTCAGGCCTTGGAAAAACGTATGATCGTCATTTAGGAAGGTAATGTGCTATTGCTGTGTAATAACATACAGACAGTTCCTGGTTTGGGGCTTAAGCCTTAATGGGTGACATCATTCGAAAAAAGCAAAGAATAGAGAGCAAAAAGCGACTCTAATCAGCCGTCTGAGGACCCATATCTCAAGATATGGCTACTCAAGACTTATTCCATATTAATTGCTGTGGAATATTTTATTTTGTAAAAATTTTCCTGAAATAAGAAAGAACATTTGCATGAAAAAAATCAAGCTTGCATATTGATAAAATTCAGCTGTACTGTAAAAGACCCTGAAGAGATTTATTAGATTTTTATTGACACAAATTTAGGGTAATAACAAATACTACTTATAGAATCATATAATCATAGAATGGTTAGGGTTGGAAAGGATCTTATCATCTAGTTCCAGCCCCCTGCCATAGGCAGGGACCCCTCACCCTAGACTGTGTCACCCAAGGCTCTGTTCAGCATGGCCTTGATGTAACTTTAAAAGGAAATACACAAAAGTAAACTAAACTGGGCTACCTCAGCAAACAAGCGCAATTTCCAATGTGTTACTTTCTAGTATGCTATTACCTAAGATGTAGGAATTGATGTCCAAATGTAAGTTGTGTGACAGAAAATGCAGTTAAATGCCTATAGGTGTTTCTAGAAGTGCCATAGTAAGTTAAGCACCTCATTTAAATAGTTAATGTGAATGGTGAGTTGCCACTGAACTCCTCTATCCACATCTGTAAGTGATATTATTCCCTAACCACATTTACAGATTGAAGGGATAATAGTAAAAATATTGCACTGAAATAATTCAGTGGTTCTTGTGAATCTGCAGACAGCCTGAAATTACTGTCTCTCCACAGTGTTAACTATTTAATCATTGGTCGAATGGTAGAAGAATGAAAGAGAGAATGATTTTATATGAAACTATGAAATTTATGACTGTTCTGTTAAATATCAAACACCACTTCTGCCTGAAAGAAATTCCCAAGATAAAGTGTTGGATGAGTGTTCATGAGAAATATCTCCATGTGCTTACTTTATATTAACATTCTTTCCTAGGCATTCCTGTTGTCACAGAATCACATACAGTCTCTGAGAGGTTGAATGGGACTTGAGATCATCTAGACTAACTACCCTGTCTAGGCAGGGTCAACTACAGCTGGTTTCCCAGGACTGCGCCCAGTTGTGCTTTGAATATCTACAAGGATGGACACACCATGACCTCTCTGGGCAACGTGTGCCAGTGACAATTCTCACAGTAAAAGTGTTTCGTACATTCAGAGGGAATTTCATGTGTTTTAATTTGTGTCCACTGCCTTTTGTCCTGTCACTGAGCACCACTGAGAGAATAAGGCTCCATCATCTTCTCTCCCTCTCATATGATAATTATACACATTGATAAGATCCCCCTAAGCTTTCTCTTCTCCAGGCAGAACAGTCCCAGCCCTCAGTCTTTTCTCACCTGAGGCATGTCCAGGTCATTAACTCGTGTTAAGCATCACTGGCCCCAGTGCCAGCCATTGGCATATACACTCTGGGCCTGGCCATGTGGTTGTTAACTGATAGTATACTTCTTCCCTAGGTGTCTTTGTTGTTCGCAGTCACAGCACAGAACACTGGGCTAGATAAACCCGTTATAGCCATTATGTTCTGCTTTTAGTAATTAAGGTAGAAAAAGATTGTTCTTATGTCAGATAGTCCAAGGTCTTTCTGTCCTCCCAAAAACACCCCCAGGCCTGAAAAGAAAGAACTGGCATGAAGGGGTTTTCTGTAATCATACTCTAGGCATATGTCGTGGTTTAAACCCAGTCAGGTAACTCGTTCACTCACTTCCCCCCTTCTTTCCCTCCCCCTACTCCCGGAGGGACGGAGATTAAAATTGAAAAGAATGCAACTCCCACGGGTTGAGATAAGAACAGTTTAGTAACTAAGGTATAACACAGATCACTACTGCTACTACCAATAATAATAATGATAAAGGAAATAACAAGGGAAGAGAATACATCACCTCACCACCAGCCGACCGATAACTCGCCCCCCCCAGCCCGACCAAGCCCCGACCCATACCTCCTCCAACCCCGCAGTCTCCCAGTCCTTCTGGCTCACTCCCAGTTACCTCCTGGGCATGACGTGCTGTGGTATGGAATACCTCTTTGGCTACCTTGGGTCAGGTGTCCTGTCTCTGCTTCCTCCCAGCTTCCCCTCCTCCCTGGCAGAGCATGAGGCTCACAAAGTCCTTGGCCAACCCAAAACATCCTTGTTATCAGCTCTGTTCCCGAGCTGAAAGTCAAAACACAGCACTGCACCAGCTACCAAGAAGGAGTAAAATGATTGCTACTGCTGGACCCAGGACATTATCCACCCCTTATTCCATACCATTCACGTCATGCTCAGATCCCACATTTTCAATATACCATCACTCTTATCTTAGAGCATGGACCAGTCCCTATAAAGCTGCTGAATCCATCTGGTCCATGATGTCAGGCTCCATCTCTTGTAACAGTCTTTCAGAGCAGGAGAGACTGTGTGCAGTGTTCATACTCGTGAATAACCTGGGCAATAGTGTCTATTGCTAAGTCCACCCCTTGATCATGAGTCCATCTCTATGTTACATCTCTGCTCTGATGGCCTGAAGTGCCATGGGCCCACCAGGCTCAAAATAATTCACTGTCCCCTTCAGCAGTTTCTGCAGCTTGTTGCTGGGGACTCCATACAGCTGCCTTCCATCTCCGATGCTTCCAAAGCACTGGAGGGGCCCAGTGGACTAGATACTTGCCCATACTGTCCCACACACCCTGCCACTCATGACTGTCCAGCCTTGGGGAAAATCTCCTGGTCCCCCTATATAGTCGTCTAACCCCAGACAAGACCCAACCCTGACTCTGCTTAACTTTTGAGATCAGACAAAATGGTCGTGGGTAAAACACAGTCTGTATGTGTGCCAACATGCTTCCCCTCCTCCCTGGCAGAGCATGAGGCTCACAAAGTCCTTGGCCAAACCAAAACATCCTTGTTATCAGCTCTGTTCCCGAGCTGAAAGTCAAAACACAGCACTGCACCAGCTACCAAGAAGGAGGAAAATGACTGCTACTGCTGAACCCAGGACAGCATATAATGAGAACCACTTGGACCAATGTGCCATTTCCTTGATATTAAGAGGATGGGATTGCAATAATGCTATGATGTTTTAAGTTCCCTGGCAAAAAAATCCCAAACACCCTTCCCCCCAAAAAAACAAAACCCCAAAAATATCCCCAACCAACAAAAAAAAAAAAGAACCCAACCTAGGGATTACATGAATATCCAAATATTTAATTTTCATATTGAGTACCTTTACCTTTGTCTTCTAATGGCCTTGACAATCCTAACCCATGAACTAAGTCTGTAGAAATAAATGTACATCTTTCTGAACAGTGTTCTTTACCATAATTTTCTGTAAATTACGTAAGGAATAAATTAAAGTTTCTTTTTTAGCTTCAACCTCTGCATGTATTGTATTAACTCAGTGTGAATATCTATGTTCACATGTCATATGTCATTCTATTATTCTTTGCTGGCATAAAAAGAACTTTAAAAGATATAAAAATAATACATCAAAAGGAGCAAGCAGCTTTGATCCTCACATCTAATTAATTGCACATTGGATAGATTTAGCTCATACAAATGTGGGATAGTTGCTTCACTCATTAATAATAATGTATGAACAGTTGTTTGTTTTTTATTCATTCCTTCCAAATACAAAACCACAGACACCTACAGTTCAAGCATCAGGAAGGAGGTTAAAGCATGCTACATCTGACCTCTTCATAGTTATTTATGCTATGTGGGGTCTGAGAAGCACCCATCTTCCAAGGGCTTTTCAGTAATTAGCTCATAAAGAGGTATAACATGTATGAACTTCCCTAAGCATCGTTTGTAAGTCACTACAGATGCTCTCATACCAATCAGTAAAACATGTGGAGCTATAACATATAACAGCTGGTACACTAAGATCCATTTATTATATTTTACACCTATACAGCAATTGATGTATGTTGCCAATTCCCTTGGGATATGTGAAGACCTTGGGGACAGACGTAATATTATTTAGAATCATGATACACATCACATGTTTCTTTGATCTAAGATAAAAAGAAGCATAAAATAAACCTACTTTTCTAATGAAAATTTTCATGTCACCACCAAATGCTTTGACTTCTTTCACTGTGCCCAAAATGCTGTGGTTCAGAACTAAAATTTTAAAGATAATTTTCACATTATAGTCTGTGATATTTACAATACTATTCATGCATAATATACAATTTTTTTTTTCAATTACTCTTTGACAAAATCCTGCCAAACGCAATAGATATGAATTGTCCATGGTGAGTAAAATTTACCTTTGGTTGCACAGCAGTAACTCATTGATTTGGCAGAGTATGTTTTCACAGGGAGTGAATCACTATCAGTGTCTGCTGATTTATGCTCTCAGTATGTCTGAATGTGTTTGTGTGCATGTATGTATAGATCACATAATTCTTGTCTAGCTCCAGATAATTTGCAATTTCTCTGAGATGGCAGACATTAGAAAGTAAAAGGTGTGTATTTTCCCAGCAGAAATCAAAGCAGAAAATAGCACAACTTAGATAACCTTTCTGTCAGGCTCCCTCACCAGTGGAATTCCCATTTAAACACCTTTCACAGAACTGCATCTCCTCCCTCCCTGTGCTTTACTCTTTCTACACCAATGAGTGTAAGTAGGAGGTGCAGTGAAAGGTAAAACCAAAATGTTTTGATGCTTGGGACTTTGATCCTTCCTGCTCTTTTAGGATCCCTTGTATCTGGAGCCCTCAATCAAGTTCTGAGAAACTTCTGGGAGGAAGGATGGTCTTAAAGAGTTTTCATTCCTTTTTTTTTGTTTTTCCCACAGAAGGGCGTATTCAAATTCCTAAAGAAAGCTTTGAAAGAGATCCAAGGAGGCAATCACATGCATGTGCAACTATTTTTTTACCAGGCAAGAATATATGGAATGTGGATGGAGTTTCAGCATAGCTCTGCAAATGTAAGTATCAATTGAAACTGGGTAGGCAAATTCCATTAAGTTCTAGGCAAATTAATGTGCATATAGCTGTTGGATTACTAACTTCGTATAATTGAAAGCAGGAAAACATGTCTGCATTTGGTTCTTAATATAAAGCTTAATTAGAAGGAAGGTCTTTAAGGGTGAAGAGTGTCGCTGAGCAGCACAGGCTTTACAGTATCTTGAGAATATGATTCCACCAAGTATAGGATTTCTCAAAGGAAAAATAAACGTTAGTCATGCTTCTCTTGTACAAATAGTAGTATCTATAAACTTTCTATCTATAGGTTAATCCTAAGAAGGAATAAATATTTTTCAAAGACTAGACAATATATTCTTTCTCCTCAGGTAAAAAGGTGTAACTGAAATCCATGTAACTTATTGAGTCTATAAAATATAAATCAGTTGAAACATATATGATTTTCACATTCTAAGTAGCTAGAAGATGCAACAGTTGGTTTTTATTGTCCTCCTGTTTAAAAAATTTCAAGTCATACAGGAAGACAACAAAAAAGCACCTTGTGACCTAAGTGACTACTGTGAATAATATGAGGAGACTGACCAAGTAGACTTTCAAACAGCATAGTACTTTTGCCAGTGTTTTTCAGGCTATAGGTCCATACACTCTACTATGAATAAGGGATACAATTGGAGCAGTTAGGATTGATTATTGGATGATATAGAAGCAAAACAATGACATATTTATCAAATACATCCTTTGCTGTGACCATTTTGTAGCCATTATTTACTGCATTCACAGTTGTTTTAAGACAAATGTTCCTTAAGTTACCTTCTGTTATTTTTTATTGTTTAAATTTTATTTCCATCTTTACTTTCTATGAGTGGCCTATATGCTTGTAGGACCTATGTGGAATGGCATAATCCTTATAAAAATGTGACTAATTAATCCTTCTTAATTTAATTTTAATTTTGAAATCGAGCTTCCAAAGTGTAGGGATGGACATATGGGTAGACATTAAAAAAAAAAAAGCTCAAGAGCAAAAGCTTGCTTTTTCTTATGCCTCTGTCTAAAAAAAAAAAATACATAACTGACTAGAAAAGTAGGATTAAAGTTGTTATTTGAAGGATGTTTACTGGATGTATTTTGTAGAACTGCAAGTGAAGAATGACAAATTCATGTTTGCTTGACTTTTCTCAGTTTCCTACGACCCAGCATTGTTGGGCTTGTTCTATCTTTATTTAAACTTTGTTCCTCTGTGAGGAGCTGTGGCTTCTGTATTTCTCAGAATTACCGTACCCCATGGGTGACATTTCCTCTGATCCTTAAAATGCTGTATTTCAGATGTTATATCACACCTCTGAAGGGTAACTTGCTTAGGAAAATATAGCTGTATTTTCCTGAAGGAACTGGAACTACATCAGGTTGAATTTCACCCTGTAGGTTATTTAAGCACAGTATGATGTTACACAAACTAAAAACAGAGGGCAAATTCCTGACTGCTATTGAAGAGATGTCATTGAGGGGGAAAAAAAAAAGCAAATAACTCCCATTCCCTTCCACTGATGTCTTAAAAAGCAAAGAGTTAGTTGTGCTGAACTGGAGAATGAAATTAATTTCAAACAAGAGTGGCATGCAGATAATTTGGCTCTTGCTTTGTAGTTTAGGTATATAAAATCAACAATTTACAGCCTCTTGGTCTGATCTTTTTTACAGAAGGTTGGATAAGGGTTTTTTTGTTTGCTGGGTTTTTTTTAATTTTTTTTTTACCCCCTAATTTCAGCTGATTTTAGATGACCTTCCTCTACTTTTTCATTAGGGTCAGTTATCTAAACTCTGTGGTGCAATCTGGCTTTATATTAGGGATTCTTTGATTATTTTTTTTTTAATTTATGGAAATTTTGTAAAGTCTGTGTGCCATCTAGGTCTGTCTATCATTCTTTTTATCTGCACTCTTTCCAGTGCTCAAGATCTTCCACATTTGCCATGGTCATTTACCTAAAATTGCAGTAAGCAAGCAAAGGGATCAGTGTATGTCTCTCTGCAATGTCTGAATGGGAACCTGCTTCCCCATGTCCAAAAATTCTAGAGGGATCAGAAGAGAAAACTGGAGAAGCACATTTTATCCTATTTCATATACTTCAGCACCTGAACTGCTGAAAAAGCCATAGAGATCCTTAAGGGTCACATTTTCCGATGCTGAGACCTGTGGGAAGCTGCATGGGTCAGGTCCTTCCAAATTTGCATGAATGCTCATTCACTTGCCAATGGTCTTTACCTCTTTTTGAAATACACAGCTCAATCTACAGTCTTGTTCTCCAGTACAGTTCCACTATTTCTGCCATTATCAAACCATGCTGTTCCTCTCTATGTGAAGTCCTGCAAGCAACCTGCTTTGTTAGTTGTATTGCCTCTTATAGTGGATATATTTCTTCATGTTCAGAAAGTGAAAACTAGTGAAATTCTTTAGCCTAAAAAAGTGCATCATGATGGAAAGGTGTAAGATGTGTTCTTTTTATTTTCCATAGAGTTCTCTAAAAATTGAATACAACTAAAGTTAAATAAGAGAAGGAATCCAAGAATCTGAGTCTGTGCTTTGTAGCAACATTGATTCATAGAATCATAGAATAGTTAGGGTTGGAAAGGATCTTAAGATCATCTAGTTCCAACCCCCCTGCCATGGGCAGGGACACCTCACACTAAACCATATCACCCAAGGCTTCACCCAACCCAGCCTTGAACACTGCCAGGGATGGAGCATTCACAACTTCCTTGGGTAGTCCATTACAGTGCCTCACCACCCTCACAGTAAAGAATTTCCTCCTTATATCCAATCTAAACTTCCCCTGTTTAAGTTTTAACCCATTACCCCTTGTCCTGTCACTACAGTCCCTAATGAAGAGTCCCTCCCCAGCATCCCTATAGGCCCCCTTCAGATACTGGAAGGCTGCTATGAGATCTCCACGCAGCCTTCTCTTCTCCAGGCTGAACAGCCTCAACTTTCTCAGCCTATCTTCACACAGGAGGTTCTCCAGTCCCCCTGATCATCATGGTGGCCCTCCTCTGGACTTGTTCCTTGTCCTTTTTATGTTGAGGACACCAGAACTGCACACAATACTCCAAGTGAGGTCTCATGAGAGCAGAGTAGAGGGGCAGGAGCACCTCCTTTGACCTTTGATGCAGCCCAGGACATGGTTGGCTTTCTGGGCTGTGAGCGCACACTGCTGGCTCATGTTAAGTTTCTCATTGATTACAGAAGAAGTTAGCAAAAAATAGTAATTAGAGGACTTTTTCTGAGTTTGAATAACTTGTAAGTATGTTTGTAGGAATTAAAAGCCGGCTAATTGCTAGTCAGGTGTAAAATGCCTTATATCTTCTTTTTATCTGCCGGTGTCTCTGTGGCAGAACATATTAAAATGATTTCCTTCATCTTTTTCTTAGTTAATTTTTAAGTTTTCAAATTCACTGCTGTAGTTCTGCTCCCCTTTCTAAGATGGTAGGTTGTAAAGTGCATACCCTAACTACATCTGTCCTGGGTTCAGCAGTAGCAGTCAAGTTTTCTCCTTCTTGGTAGCTGGTGCAGTGCTGTGTTTTGACTTCCAGCCTGGGAACAGTGCTGGTGATACCGATGTTTTTGGTTGTTGCTAAGTGATGTTTACCCTGACCAAGGACTTAGTGAGGCTTATGCTCTGCCAGGGAGGAGGGGAAGCCGGGAGGAAGCAGAGACAGGACACCTGACCCAAGGTAGCCAAAGAGGTATTCCATACCACAGCACATCATGCCTGGGGTGGGGGGTAACTGGGAGTTACCCAGAAGGACACAGGGGCTTCTGGGTCGGACTTGTTTCTTGGCCGGTGGTATTGTATTCTCTTCCCTTGTTATTTTCTCTCATCATTGTTGTCGTTGGTGGTAGCGGTGGTGATTTGTGTTGTACATTGGTTGCTGGACTGTTCTTGTCTCAACCCGTGGGAGTTGCACTCTTTCGATCCTCCTCCCCATCCCTCTGGGAGCGGGGAAGGGGAGAGCCCCTGGGGGGGGGCTTCGATTGCTTCCAGCCCGGCACCACTCACTGGGAGTGAGTAAACAAGCTGTCTGGCTAGGGTTTAAACCATGACAACATCTCACTGTTTTAAAAGCTGCTCTTTCCCACTACAAAGCACTGTGATATACTGAAGAAAAAAACAAACACAGTGTTGCAAAATTTTCTCTCTTGTTTCTGTAGGTGTCTTTGGCCATCAAAATGCAATCTTCCTTTTATCCCTGTCAGGAACTATGCCCTGAGCATGTACTACCACAGAATGAATGAATGTCCTAACAAATGCTTTTAGACAATACTCTGGATCATTGTTTCACAGTAGCTTTTAAATACAGTTATAAAGTCACACCTTCCAGTTAGCAAGAAAAGACACAATTTGTCTGATGTGATAATACTGTTAAAAGCCTTTTAGAAACTGCAGAAAAGGTTAGAAACATGTTTTATTGTTTTTTGTTTTGAGCAGCAGCACCACATAATGCAGTGCTGAATTTGTATCTGATGAATGTTTTATTCTGGGCTTGCCCTTCCCATCTCTCAGCATTTTCCTATTTAATGTAAGGAGAAACTGATACGATACAGTGGTTTTACATGTTCAGAATATGAATAGTAAGTGTCGTATGCAAAGTTTTCAGACATCTTTTTCTGTCTCAACAAATAATCCTCACTCTTTTTCTTCCCCTTTTATGTCTACGTTCATCATTTTATCTTATGCATACAATTTATATTTGAATACAACAATGAAAGCAAGTTCATTCTCAGATCATATGTTCACTTCCCTCATCAACATTTCATATAGCTGTACATTATGAAGTCTCTCCTTATTAAGTCTTTTTTCTAGTCTAACATATTTTGCTCTTGATGATCTTAGATGAGGCCTAAACAAAGTCTTGCAAAATGGGATCATTACCTTTCAAGGTTGAGATTTTAAGTTAATTCACAACCTGCAAGAACATGCAATGCCCACAGATAGGCGAACAGGTAAAGAGA